CCGCGCCCGCGCGCGCGCACGCGCACGCGCACGCGCACGTGCACGCGCACACGCGCACGCACACGCACACGGACACGCTCACGACACGGACCCGCACCCGCACACGCACGCGCACGCGCACGCCCACGCGCATGTGCATGTGCACGCGCACGCGCACGCGCACGCCCACGCCCACGCCCACAAGCACGGGCACGGGCACGCACGAGCACGCGCATGCGCGTGCGCGCGCAAGCGCACGCGCACGCGCGCGCCCACGCACACGCACACGCACCCGCACCCGCACCCGCACTCGCACCCGCACTCGCGCGCGCACCCGCACCCGCACCCGCACCCGCACACGCACACGCACACACACACACACACCACACACACACACACACTCACACTCACACTCTTGCTCACACTCACGCTCACACTCCCAGGATGTCGCGTAAATTTTCATCAGCTATCCGTATCTGTCAAACTCAATCCCTTGCCGGTGTTTGTTGTTTGTGTGTTTGTTTGTTTGTGTGTGTGTGTTTGTCTGTTCGCGTGTTCGTGTGTTAGTGTGAGTGTTGCTTGCCAAAACGCTTGAGCTGAGAATGTCATGTTGAGCTCTCCCGTGCCTGCCAGCTATCCACGGTGGCGGCTTGGTGGAAAGAGAGTCGCAGCAAGAAGCCTTGGAAAAGGCAAAGGCGCTCGGCCACATGCATGAATACCTTGAGGCTCTGAGTTTATTGAATCTACTTGAACGCGGCAGGGCCATTTTATGTGCCACGGGTACGTGTGCAGCCCAGGACTCCATCATATACGGCGTTGACATGGACCAGTCGGGTATGGATCCTCACAAGGACTGTCGTTGTAACTCTGTGCCGAGCAGGGCCCAAGCGGGTTGGCCCATCCGTTTACCCGCTGACTTGTTTTCTGCCAGCTATTGCACGAGGAATGTTCGTCATTTTGGCCGAGGGCCATGTCGTATCCGGTTCGCTTGCAGGATCTGTTGACTTTGAGGATCCCTTGTACAGCAGGTTGTTTTAGATATATCCACTAAGGAGCCCTGTTGTTTTTTGCACAGATCAGATCAGATCCTCGCGGCATTGAGGAGTTCATGAAGGTGTACAAGGATTGTGCGGGCATGTCATCCGGGCACAAAGAAGGACCGCCGCGTTTGATCCGAAACAGAACCCCAAAGTGAAGCTCAGCTACAGACAGTTGCCCAGCGTGGCAGCGGCCACCCTTGTAACTCCGTATGTCTTCAGTACCTTATTCTACCGTGTCTGGGTTGTGATTCGGCCGCGGGTTGGTGTTGGGGTTTTTCCTTCTTATTAATAAAGCTGGTGCAATATTCACTTTTTTTTCCTCATAATGTGCGCATGTTTTGTTTAAAACCATTGTAAACGCTGCGCGTTGCCCGCCTCGGCCCAGCCGAGCGCGCAGAGTCTGTGGTTTGACTGCAAGCAGCAGAGCTGGTCAAGTGTGGTGATTCAGGAATGGACAGGCGTCGTTGGACCAATTGATGTCATGGGCCAAAGTTGCGCAGAAATCCCCAAGGCAAGGGCAAGGCGATGCATGGGACCAGGAGTGAGTCATGACACCAAGAGTCAGTGGCTGGCGCTGCGTGCTGGGGCAGCTCATTGGGGCGGGCCTGCGCCGGGACACGCCAGACAGACGGACTAGGCTTCTGGTTGACCGCGCATGCGCAAGACACAATCAGGCTAGCTGGTTTCAGGGCTGGGCCTGAGCGCGTGAGTGAGGCCAGGTGTCTGCTGGTTGGGCTCGGCCTGAGGCTAGTCTCAGATAGCCATGTTTGGACATGGGGGTTGGGGGAGAAATCTTGGAAGTCTCTTTTCTCTTTGGAAAAGAGATCTGAGCACCCTTCACCCCCTAGATTTATACCTGATGAAATTGAAACACATACCTTGTATCCTGGAATAGCTTACAGGGGTAAATCGAATGAATCATGTGCACGTATTCATAAAGATTTAGCTAGAGCTCAATCTGATAAGCTTATACTCAAAGGTTATAAAATCGTATTGATAGGTGTTTGATTTATTAACTTCTGGTTTTGATAAAAAAAAACACATGTAAAACTATTGATGACTTGTGTGAGTTCTAAAACATGACGGTGATCGTGTTTCCGGTGCAGCACCCGCAGGCAAAGAAAAGAAGAAGCGGAAGCAGGTCCTCAATTACAGCAGCGCGGCTGCGCTTGGACATTGGGAGGCAGATTGAATGGCAATTACCCCTTCCATCAAGCTGACTGCGATTGAAAAAGAGTGCTGGTGAAGGTTGACATGTGCAGCTTCGTCGGTCTCTTGCGAAACATTGCAAGTTGCAAGGTTCCCAGTTGGCGACCCACATTGACCAGCAGAGTCCTCACGAGGAGTTCATGAGAAAATTCAGTCGCCTGGATGCAAGCTTGAAGGGTTGCATATGCTTGAGACCTGCTTGGCAAACATTGTGCGTATGGCAACCACTGAGCGTCAAGATGTGTTGCGTTTGTAGCGGCTGTTGCGCAAGCAACCAAACTTCCCACATGCCGGCAGGAGCAATCGAGCCTGATTTGCAGTTGTTTGCATCAGCCACAGCCAAGTTTTGAGGCGTAAGTCTGCGCCCACAGGGCGCAGTACATGCCAGGCTTCAATTGGGCAATCTTCAGAGGGTGGTTCCCGCCCTTCAATCAGCACGTATCAGCACGTACCCCCAAACTTGAGCATGTTACCGTGCTGTCCTTGGGCCGGCACTGAGGTGACAGGGCCGGTTCTCGGACCCACGAAGCGAGGTTCAAGCCATTGAGGGGGCCCGGCCCTGGCCTCAAAGATCGTGTTAGGGCGGGAAGATGCGAACAGAGCTGAGGCATTGCGCACACTTCGCAGATGAAAGAGATCATGAACGGCCAGCCGTCAGGCCTGAGGGGAGTAAGACCTTGCAAGGGCTTT